TCGCAAATTATTGATCGGGAATCAATCTTATCTAATCTGGAAAAATTTAATTATTTGCTGACTTGTCTGCATGGCCAAGCGTTAGAAACTGTTAACGCTTTTCAAGTCACAAATGAAAATTACTCAAAGACATTAAATAGATTGAAGGATAGGTACGACAATCCAACACTCATTTTCATGGAAAACATATCAGCACTTTTTGATCTTCCTGGTACTTCCAAACCGGAACGTGTTAAGCTGCGAAGTGTAATCGATACTGCGTCAACGATTTATAGTTTACTTCTGTCAATGGGTTTTAAGGCTCTAAAAATCGATTTTAAGATCGCGTAAACGCCCTAAATTGAATTTTGCTTAAAAGCACTTTTAGCTTACTAAAAGTAGTTTAAAATTACTTTTAGTAAGAAATATCACTTTTAAGCATTGCGCAAACACCTTAAAAGCAGTTTAAGGTTTGAATTGCAGTTGTTAACAGTAAATAGGTACAAATAATTTCAATTTCGTTACAAATAACAATAACCAAATAACTAAAAATATAAAGAAAAAATGGGAAATAAAAAGAAAAAATTTGCAGAAAAACAAATAATTAGACGGCATTGTTGGAGATCAAAAAATATAGAAAGGACACAATTTATGAAATTGTTCGTCAAGAAATGGAAATCGGTGGCTGGTACAGAAGTGTACAGCAAATAAAACAAAAGTGGCAGGTATTAAGAAGACAATACTCTGAAATTAAAAAAAAATAGTAATTGTAGTAGTAACAGTTGCATGGAATACCATCCATTGATGTGCGAAATACTTGACACAAGATTATCATCAGTTCTTGAAAATAACGGGTGCGATATTGAACAAGTAAATATCTTGTTACCGAACTTTAAATTTTTTTAATTGCAGGCGAATCGAATGAAGAATATTTGAATGACAACGCAGATGAGCAGAATGCAGACTTTAAATGTAATTCTATAAGCACACTTGATTTTCTTCGACGTCCGCATTTTTGAAAGCTCAAGATTTTAGTGCAGAAAATGTAAATAATGCAGATGAAACGAATTCGGAGTTAGGAATCAGTTTCACTAATAAATTTCTTGCCTTCGACGTCCACTACATCGCCAATTCGAGCAAAGGCGTTGTCCAGCTTTCATGAAAGTTGGTCTCGCGAATGGAAAAGTATGATTAGCCAGCAGGAAAAATTTTTTAGTGAGGAAGCTGTAAAACAGCATGAATGGGAAACCAAAATATTGGAAGAGCAGCGTACGCATAATGAAAATTTGATGCGCAGTAGCAATAAGACAATTGAAAGTGCAATCAAAAGCATAATTGTATCCCAGAATCTAAATTAATTAAATTGTTTATTTTTTATTCTCTATTTGAAAATTTAACTTTACCGTAATGGTCACTTTATATTTATGTAGAAATGGAAATTTTCTCGCCAAGTACGCCCATATATGATCTTGCATAAGATGTCCGGAAGACGAATTTTGTTGATTGTACATATGTTCAGGTTTCGCCGTGGATTCTTTCTACATCCCATGAGAAATTATAACATTGTTTAGATATCTCCACAAAATTGTGATGAATTCCACACGCTATTATCATATGCGGCATATTGATTATTATCTCGATTATTTGAAATGAGTTTAATATCACTTTTTATGTGTTTCACTTAGAAAACACCGAAAGTTACGGAGTAATTTTTTTTTTTGGCGTGCTAAGTAAGTTCACTCTTTATTACATTTATTCATATTTATTCATCAATATTTATGGCTTCGGTTGTTTTTCTTGTAGGTTGCGCCTTTCCTTAAGGCTAACAAATTTCACCTCAAAGCCGATTCCACTAATCGCTATCGCTAAGATTTAGCGACATTTTAGCGACTACATTTTCTGCTAACTCATTACGCTTAATTTCTTTTCGCTAATTTTCTTACTTTCAAAAACAACTGATTGCTCCGAATAAAACGCTAAATCTCCAAATTTCGTATTCTGCTAAGTTGGCAATCGCCAAGTATCTCTAAAATCGACTAAAAATGTTCTTAATTTGATTTTATTGTCGCTAAAAGTAAAAATATTATTTTTTATACAAATTGATCAATTATTTTTGTTAGTTATTAATACATATTTTATTTTTCTGACTTGAAATTGTAGCGAAAATGAATTGAATTGCAAGTCAAACAGTGGACTAAATATATGATTATAATACATTGCTTTCAATGTTATTTAAATATCAGATTTCAATATTATTTAAATTTCAGACGCGCATCAGATATGGTGATTGAGTTTGTAGAATTTCGCAAACATTTTCTTTTGCAGCGTAAAATATTCCATGAAAATATTCAGAAAAAAATCACATTTCTTATTAAGTACTCCATTATCTAATTAAGCAACAAACTAATGTTATTTTAATTTAATTTTAATTTAAATTCCACAATGGTAAAACAATTTTATCGAAAAGTATCTGCTTCTAAATTTCAAATTTTAATTATAATACCAACTGATGTGTACAAATTTGTTTTTGTTATATTAACAGTAATTTCTTTCAGAGTAGCAGAAAAATACTCGCAACTTACGTAAGAAAACGTGAAGCAACAACAATGCTCTTAAAATTTTCAGAGTTAGGTTTTACTCGCAAAAAATTTTACGTCTTCTGTTTTAGTGCGGCTAAATTCAAAAATTAATGTATTGTAAATGTTCACTGGAAATATTGCGAAATTTCAGTAACCGTTCAAATCATATGAACATTTCATTTACTAATAAATTAAAATACATGAATAACTTGATTTATTAAAATATATAAGATAAAAATGCTAACCATTACCATTCTAATATAGATATTTTCTTTTATATAAATTAATAACCAAAAACATACATAGCATTACATACATTAAAAGCATTGCATTACTCAAAAATGAAGTCAATTTGTTTCAACCAGACTCAGTGCTGTTTTTTTACAACTCTGAAAGAGAAAATATTACGGCTATTATTATAATCTCAATGTGAACATATAAGGAACACTACCAATTTATTAACTTAAATAATAAAAGGCTTTTGCAAAATATTTATATTAGAAATGTGTATTTTCCCATTTTAAAATATAAAATTATTTTTCCTTAACATAGTTTATTCATTATTATATAAGATATGTAGTATATCTTTATATGTTAAGTACATCCTTTTTAAAGACTTGTGCGGAATATTTTTACACTTTGGCGCAATGAAGTTTTATATTTCTTTCAAAAAATCAAAACAGGAAAACACCCAGCGGGACTTTCAGCGCTGAGGGAATCGATTCCCTCAGCGCTGAATGGTAATGCCTAGCGCTGATTATTCAAAGGAAACTCCTAATTACTTTAACACGTGCATGTCATTGCGGGCAAGCGCTGAATCGTTCGATTACCTTTTCAAATTTGTAATGCAACATTTCAGCGCTGACATGTTTGCTTACCTTTTCGAATTTGTAATGCAACATATCAGCGCTGACATGTTCGCTTACCTTTTAATTTTACCTATGCTATTGATTTTTAAATAAAATACTATAAATTTTTTTGGATAAATTATATTTTATATTTATGGTTTATAAAATTGAAGTATTAATATTTGCATAAAAGAATATAACATATTTACATTTTAAATTATTTATACATAATTATTTACATATTAATTTATTTAAATATTATCTTATTTACATATTAAATTATTAATTTATTCACATATTTACATAACATATTAACTTATTTAAATATAAATTAAGCTTATTCACATATATACATATTTATATAAAGATATATTATTCTGTGGAATTGTTACTAGAGACTTGAACAGATTTCCGGACACTCCTCGCCTTGTGGTACCTGTTTTTGGCTGATCGAAACGCATGCCTTATTTCATTTTCGATCACTTGGTCAGGGTTACCATCTGTCCTTAAATCGTCTGTAAATACAAAAGTAAGTTATTGTATACGCTAAAATAAATTATTTACAATATACTATACCAAAAAGTGCTGCTGTCACATTCTTTGACGCTCTTAAGGACTTCTTGCCTTGTGTACCATCGAAGTTATAATTTATGAGTATACTTTCTCCAAAAATCCACGAAATCTTTCGTGTTATTGGTTGTTTCTCAATAACGCGTATCATTGATGCAGCCTATAAATAACGTAATAGATAAAAAGAACTGTATGAGTTAGTAAAATTGTTACATGTGAAAATATTAATAAGTTGAAATTGAAAGTAAGAAACATATATAATTTAACTTACAACTACTTCAACGACAGTGATTTCTTCGTTAAACTGAATTAAATCCTAATCAGATTAAATTGGAAACTGTTCTAATTGAAGCAGATGACTGATTTTATCTTTGCTTTAGAATGACTGCATTCGCAGCACATTGGTCACTTAATCGTTCTTGACGCAGTTGCATCTACATAATACAAAACAAAAAATAACATTTAAAATTTTAAATATATTTGCTTAATTTTGCATATACTTACAGTGAGTTTATGTTAAATTCACAAATTATATTTTATTTATATTTTTAGATTCACAAATTATATTTTTAGATTATATATTGATTTTAAAAATTAAAAATTGTTCACTGCACTAATTTGATGCACTTCACTAAAATCAAAAGCAGACTAAATGTATACAATGCAGGCAAAACAAGAAATTCTTAATACTCATATGCTTTTCTTCTTCATTCTTTTATAATTTCAACCCCCATTTTGCCTATGTCGAACACAAATGTCGAAAACAAAGAAAAATAAAAACGAAGAGCTATTACCTCCTCGCTTACTTTTTCAGCGCTGGCCTAATGGTGCCGCTGGGCAATTTCAGTCAATTTTGCTGGTGTTAGTGCACTTTTCTCTAACACCTTCAAATGCTTCACTGCAAATTGTGGTTGTTCGAAAAAACAAATTTTAGTTCACAATGGAGTAGCCATTCTTGTAAGGAATTCATTGTATCAACACAAAAATTAGATAAAATCAAATAAGTGGCATCACCTAACGTCACCACAAGCATTCAATAAAAATTTCAGTCATACGTACTTAAAAAGTTGATGAGAACAATAATTAGAGAACGGAGAGTTGAAATATTTTATTATACGAGCCCAACCCAAAATCTGCTGTGAGAAAGTAAGTAATTGTATAAAGTGCAATATAAAATGAATTAAAGAAAAGTATAAAATTGTTTTAAAATATATGTCTTCAAAAATGGTAAATATAAATTCGTAAAGTTCTTAAAAATATCAAGTTACTGAAGTGCGAAGGACCGCAGAAAAAGGAATGTGATATCAAGTAAAAATTAATGATTAATTGTTTTAGATAAATTTAAGACAATTAAATAAATGCAACGCATATGTTTTTACGTCTTATTCCTAAAATCTAGTTTTGCAACGTTAATAGTCTATATGTATATAGGCTTTCTTTATCGGGACTCCAGCTATTGACAGTGAGATACCAATGTTATATTATTATCGATGATTTCTACAAAAGCTTGAGTCATTGCCTTTAGTTTTTTTTTTTATTTTATTGCAAATAAACAGTTCGCATTTTATTTGAAAATCTGCTTTGCTATATACAATCATTTCCAATGCCTTGCTTTTTGAGAGCAGTTTTATATCTGCCAAATATTCCAACGTTTTGTATATAGTTCTTGAGTTGTAAAGTTTTTTTGGTTCAGCTCAATGTAATGATTTTTAATGCTCCTTGCTATATCATTTGTGTGCATTTGTAGAAATCAATAAACAATTGCAGTGACATATTCGGTAGAATTATGCTAGAATGTATTGTCTAACCGGAGAGCTGCTTACTTATCAATTATGGTGGTGGTGCTAAGCATAATATAAACTATATAACGAGATGACTGCTTAAAGCATGTATTAAGAAATAAATGAATGAAAACTTCGGTTAAATTCGAGCTAAATTCTACTTGCTAATATAACATGTATTCCAACTTTAAACCAGTTATGCTACTTCTTTGCTATTTACTTTGCAAGGGAACAATTTGCATAAGTTCATGTGTTAATCGGGAATTGACTTGGAACAAAAGTTTTTTGTGTTATGCCCTAGTAGCTTATATTTAAGCAATTCGTATTATATGTTAGCTTCTTTTAAGTTTGCAAATTCAGGATAAAATGTGTAATGGAAGGAATTTTATAAAGCTAGAAAACAAATCTGCGAAAAGCAATACGAACTGAACATCTTAGATTGTAAATATAAGAATATTTGTTATCTATTTCTCATATATATTGGTAAATTAATTGCAATTAGAAAAACAAATTAATTTTAGTGTGGTCTACGCTGTGGTAGTTGTATGCGAATCAACAGTAAAACTAAAATCGTATAATTTACACAAATATTTATTTTATATTTCTTTATGTGCAAACAGGAAATAAGATACGAAGATATTTTTATATGTAATATCTTTAGTAAATCTAAACTATTTTTTTTCAAGCACAGAGTTTAATTTGTATTTTAGATGTAGATTGGTTTAACTTTTTAGTAGGACTTTTTCAGGGTATACACGGTTTACAATTCGAGGTTACTTGAAGAGGCTGATGTATGCATTGATTTCTGTATTGCACAGATAAAAATGCAAATGGGTAATTTTGGGTAATTTTTATTACTATTGTACTATAAAAATTAAGTTACTATTACACTTAAATTACTATTAACATAAAGTTGCTATTAAAATTAAATTTCTCTAAAAAATAAATTAAGTAAATAATTATGTAAGTAAATTTAAATTAACACCATTACCTCGGTGCACGTTCGTGTACGAGCAAAAATATGCACATATAATGTACTTTACGCAAATTAAGGACGAAATTTTATAGTCATGGAGGAGCTGTGCCGGTCAGTTTTGAAGATAATGTTACCAAAGACAATTTAAGCAAGTCGCTGCAGTATATTTTAAGTTTTGTTCATATTTAACAAGGAACGTTTTCAATTTATTTCATTAAACACAAACCTTTGATAAAACAGCGGTTAAGTTCATTCATTTTATTTACGTTATTTTATTAACAAAAGCTGAAATTACAGTAACAAATCTTAATGTGTGTTATGGTTTTATAAATTTAATTGATTATTTTATTTTTTAAAATCGAGAATCAGATAAGTTGTCTTCAAAATTGGAAACATCTTTTATAATGTTATACCGGCTAATTAGTAAATGTTAAGTAATACATATTTTTTTAAATTAGTTTCAAGAATATTTTATTACCGATATTTCGACTAAAGTCATCATTAGGATACTGATGTAATATTATTTTTTTATGATATACCATCAAATGTATTTAATTTGATTTAATAGGACAAAGAAATAATACTACAATACAATAGAATTTAAACGCAAATACATTTATACTGGACTCATCCGTTGAATGTGTTATAGCCGCCACTTGGGTAAAAAGTATGTCGAAGCTAACAGAATTATTTTGCTTATATTTGGACTACTTTTAATATTTTAAATTCACTTAAATGCGAGAGTGGATTAGAGCCAAAGTACAAAATTGACGTTAAGCCCACAGCCACAGCATATAAAAAAAACGAAAATATAAAAAAAAGACCGAGGTATTTTGATCAGGATTTATACTTTAAAACTCAGGGAAGAATATATTGTTGTTTTTTATATAACAGGGCGATCGGTCCATAACGCGGAGCAAACACTTATCAAGAGTTTTTAGTAGAAATTTAATGCGTTTTGCGCAAAATATTGTAAAGTATTCCTTGTCCACTACTATATTCTTTTTACAGCTTGCTAAGTACTGAGACAATGTTATAATCTCTTACTAGTCATAAATTGTACCGTGTTACAATTTATGTTATTTACCGCAATATTACTTTTCCTGTTAAATTTTAAGAAATATGTGTTACAATTTGAGGGTTCATTTCAAACAGAAAAATAGGGATTCCACTTATATAAGGCTACCCAATAATATTTTGCTGGTTTTGATTTGATAACAATTTCGAATAGATTTGAGTTTTTGTAAGCAAAAGCTACATTTTAAATTTCATCACCATAATTACTGAAAGCGTATATAGTTAGGATGTGGGTTGTATTTCTTTTTTTTTCGTTTTGTTATATATTTGGTTTTTTTTTATGGTTATGTATTTCATTTTATTTTTTTTTTTCGAAAATTTTTTTTATTTTTTTTTTTTTGAAAATTTTTTTATTTTTATATTCACAAAATAATATTTAAATATATATATGTGTGAACTCATTTTTGACATACTAAGGTCGTGTGCGAGTTAGGCTAAGTTGCGTTCTAAATGAGGGAAATACTAAGTTGTGCCGATAATGTAGTGATGTGTCGATACGTGTTAATAAATGGCTAAATGTGTGCAGTGCAAAAAATCCCAAAAAATCTTCCATTTGGTGTAGCATCAACTTAGCCTAACTCGCACACGTCCTAAATGTTAAATCCATCTCTTTATTTTATTTGATAAACTCCTTTGTATTAATCTATTATACCAATTCTTGATTTAGAATTTCAGTATAGCATGTTTGTTGTATTTTATGTTCATTATATTTGTTTTTAATATTAAGAGATAATACAATGCTTTTGTGAATTTAGTTTTCCTGATTGTATTTGTTTTGTTGTATTGTTTCAAATTATAAAATATTATGAATCGCTGGATTTGGAAAGTCATATTTATTTAAAATTCGTTCATTGTTTTTTTCCACCTTTTGAAAAATTATGTTAATTAATTCTAATGTTATTATATATTACTAGGGTCGCCAGTGGTCGGAATTCGACCAATAGAAAATACAATTTATAAACAATATTAATAGTATTTAAATTTTATTGAAAAATTTGAAGAAAATGTGAACAAAATCTAAAGAAAGTGTAGAAAAGAATTTACAAAAATAAATTAAAATTTATAGTGCAAAATCATTTGTTCTGTTTCTGGTTTTGGCTTAATTTTTCCTTGAATGAACAATGGAGTGAAATCGATCAATTTAAATTTGTATTCATATGTGACCACGTATGCACCTGCGAAAGGACGCCAAAATAATTAGTATAAAATGTTGATAAATTTGAATGAAATACCGATTAAGTCTCGAACTGATGTTCCATTTTGAAATCTTTTCAACAAAGAAATTATCTTAACTTCTGCTGCGTACATTTGTTCTTCAGGTGATATCGGAGAGCTATCGGCATAGGAATCAGCAATTCAAACAGCGTAGAACAGCATCTTCAATTGATTGCGGTTATTATTCACTGAATTGCGTTCAATTTTCAATTCATCGCGTTTATTCTTTAATGAAGTCACAATTTCGACAATGCGACTTTGCACAACATCTTGCTCCTGTCATAAATTGTCAAACAAATTCCTATACTCTGCCACCACGAAATCATATCGCTGTATGCAGTGAAGGCAAGAAACAGAATTGAAATTGGAAAATGAACGTATGAAAAAATTGAAATATTGAAAAACTTTAAAACTTTAATAATAATTCTATATTTTATATTACAAAGTTCTCAAAACTTCAGTGTAAACAATATTTTTCGTAAACTCCCTTTCATCATAAGCCAAATGACATTGTTCACCTTCATTACTGACATAAAATTTAAGTCCTTCAAATGATCTAACTCTACTGGCTGCAACGTAAAGTTGTCCATGAGAGAAAACAGGTTTCCTCAAAAATATTCTAACTCTATAAAATGTCTGTCCTTGGGATTTGTTAATTAACATAACAAATGCGGCGATGACTGGAAACTGTGTTCGTCGAAAATGAAATGGCATTGCAGTTCCTGAATACGTTAAGTGATGCGTGGAATCAAAATACGTTTTTCGCGAGCAACTTTAGTAAACACAATCTATTCTATTGTGTTGTGTCTAATCTGTTGTGTTATTATGCATTGTTTTGACTCGCATTCTCATCCCATTCACTAAAGCTTGCTTCGTATTTAAATTTCGAATTAACAAAACTATCGCATTAATTTCAATAATGTGGAAGCAATTCCACTAAATGCACACGAAATACATCAAAGATTAAGGGAATTTTATTTACGAATTATAACCGTTTGTGTGCATGTTTTCCCACAACCTACATGGGCTGTCAAAAAAAACACATTTGATCCTGTATCGTGATACTGAATTTCACGAATAACTTTATCAATAGCATC